AAATAAATGAGAGATGTGAGGTAGGCAACCTGAATTCAAGGTTGGCTCCCCACTAGCTGTGTGACTTTGGGCAAGTTACTTAACCTCTCTGAGCCTCAGTTCTTTCGTCTGTAAAATGGGGCCCAGCACAACCACCTCCAAGTTGTGAGCATTCAATAAAGTGTTACTAGCAGAATGCCAGAGAAAATGTTCAGCAATTGTCAGCCATTACTGCTATGATGGTGATGATTATTATTGTTTTATTATTATTATTTCCGTTGCTATTTGCTGTCTGCTCAGAACACATTCTATTGCTCTGCAGGGAAAAGCCATTTCCCCGGAATTGCAAGACCCGGTCTCTAGTTTAGATTTTCTTCCTGCCTGGTTATGTGACCTGGGAAAATTATTGCTCCGTCCCACGTCCTGCTTTTTCAATCTGCATAATGTCCACATTATGCAATCATTAGCAATTCCTAAGCGAGGGGCATGGTGGTGGCTGCTATTTTGTAATTAATAAAGATGATAAGCTTGGGGCGGCGCCTGTGGCTCAAAGGAGTAGGGCGCCGGCCCCGTATGCCGGAGGTGGCGGGTTCAAACCCAGCCCCGGCCAAAAACTGCAAAAAAAATAAATAAATAAAAAATAAAGACGATAAGCTAACCATGAATAGCAGCCACTGAGCTGTCAGGGCTGCAGCTGTCACTGTGTCATGATTATGTGCACAAGGGACATCCTTTCTGACTAGACCGTTCACCTCCAGCTCCTGGCTTCTGTCCCATCATAGCCGTTTGCAGTTTATGATGGTATATTTGTATCTTAGCGTTCTTGTTTGTTGTCACCTGCCCCTGCTGGTAGCCCACAAAGCATGGACTGGCCATGGACTGGCCAGGCATATTCAGAGTATCCATTTCTGGTCCCCAGAGCTGACACACCATAGGTGCTCTGTGAACAGTGATGGAGGGAGAGGTTTTAGGTGTCCTGCCCGTGGGAACAGGCCTGGTTCCTGGAAGGACTTCAGGAGGGCATGTGCACATGTGTGTGCATGTGTGTCAGGGGTGTGTGGCCTTGGGAAGGTGTGTCTGGCATGGAAGCCGCTCTCCCTCCCCTCAGCATGGAGGTGGGCGTGTGCGTGGAGGCCTATCGCCAGGAGGCTGAGACCCACCCGAGGCACATCAACAGCGCCTTCATGACCTTTGTGGTCCTGGATGAAGATGACCAGCCCCAGTTGCTTCCCTGGATTCGGCCCCAGCCTGGGGTGAGTGGGGGCAGCGCCCTGCCCCACCGGCAGCTCCCTTCCCCTCTTCTCTGCCCAGAAGTGGTGGAGATTCCAAGCCCCCCAGACAGGCCTGAGGGCACAGCCAGCTCTGAGTTCTGGTTGTGAGCCCTGGGTGCCCCTTGTGCAAGGCAGGCATCTAGCTTGACAGAACTTGGAACACACATATAGGTCTGGCTCGTAGTGGGGTGTTAATGAGCCATCACCAGCCTGCGGAGTTGGAAGAGCACAGGCCTTAGAGTCAGATGAGGGTTGGAACCTGACCTCTGCGGCGTTTAAGGAGGTGCCTGCTGCCAGCTCTCAGCCCCCATCTGTGAGATGGGTGTATGCACAGTCCTTACTCTGCCAGCCTGTGGGCTGCTGACTCTGTGCCTGGCTGAGCCCTGGCACCTCTCAGTACAAAGCAGGATGGTGACACCAGAGTAAGGGGCCTTGCAATGAGTCAGGGATCAGATAGGCTCTTGAAAAATGCTCTGTGTACCTCCTGTGGCTGTGGAAAGCCTGTCCTTCCCTCTGGGCAGGCCCCTGCCCCACCTGCCCGCCTCCATGGGCTATGTAGTAGGGCAGGCTGGGGTGGCTGGGGGTGGAGGGGCCATGGCCACGGCTGCTCCCCATGCAGTCATTTTGTGCTTGCAAGTGGGGGACATCAGGGGTGATGATGTCAGGGTGGGCTCAACTCAGGCCATGGGGTTCTGATCCTGGCTTTGCCTCTTACCCCTGCGACCCAGGGCAAGCCACATAGCCTCTGTGTCGGGCTCCTCCTCTGTGGAGTGAGGAGCATGCGCCGCCTCAGCAGGCCGTTGTGAGGATTAGATGGAATTTTGCTTGAAAAGCACTTTGGAGCTGGAATGTAGCAAGTGCTTAGTACAGGTGGGCTCTTGTTACCACTGTGAGTGCCCTGTAAGGGTCCCATTTTACAGATGAGGAAACCGAGGCTGGTGAGGGGAAGTATGTGCCCAAGGTCCCTCGTAGAGTCTGAGGGCATCTAGGGCTACAACATGGGACCCCAGCATTTTCCTGGCCAGGAGGTTTTGATCCAGCTGTCCCAGTGAGGCCTGAGTCCACTTTAGGGCTGTAGGACCTCCTTGCACCCTGAGGGTGGTGTTGTCAGGGACGGGGCAAGGGAGTACCTGGTGTCCTTCCTGCAGCCTATCCCTACTTCCTCCCCAGGATGGTGAGCGGAGGTACCGAGAGGCCAGTGCCAGGAAGAAGATCCGCCTGGACAGGTGAGTGGGGGCTGGGCGTTGGTGGGAACGCAGGGTCAGGCCTGTGTCCTGCTCTGCCTGACCCCAGGGCACTCTCTCATTTCTTTGGGCAGCCCGTGTGTTGGGCCCTGGGCAGGGCCCTTTACAGTGCATCTGTTCAGCCTCTTATTTAGGCCTCATGACACAGTGGTCTGTGACCCATGGTACAGGGAAGGACACTGAGGACAGAGGGGTCAGGTGGCTTACCCATGGGTACACAGATAAGCATGATAAGCAGAATCAGAATTCAAACCTGGCTGGGTCTGGCCAATTTGAAATGCCGTGCTCCTTCCATCAACTCTGATGCCCCTTTGGCAGATGAAGGAAAGGTTCAGAAGGGGATGGAGTTGCTCAGGACGCAAGCCCAGGTGCACCTACTCCGCTGTGATAGCCCTTTACAAAGTGGAGAGGCTGTAACACACCAGGGTTTGCGAGCTGTTGTCAGTGTATGTGTTTATGCAGCACTTACTGTATATGCCAAGTGTTCTTGCAACCACCCTGTGAGGTGGGCATGACCAAGGATCCCATTTCCCACATGAGGACACTGAGGCACAAGGGTGAAATCATTCAGCAGGGGTGTAGAGGACTAAGTCTTAAACCTCTGAGCTGCCCTTGGCATGGTGGCGCATGTCTGGAGTCCCTGCCACTTGGAGGCTGAGGCAAGAGAATCACTTGAGCTCAAGAGTATGATGTTGCTATGAGCTATGACATCATGGAACTCTATCCAGGGTGACAAAGTGAGACTTTGTCTCAAAAAAAAAAAAAAGTGGGGTGATGTCTGTGGCTCAGTGGGTAGGGTGCTGGCCCCATATACCAAGGGTGGCGAGTTCAAACCTGACCCTGGCCAGCTAAAACAGCAATGAGAATTGCAACAAAAAAAAAGCTGGGTGTGGTGGCGGGCGCCTGTAGTCCCAGCTACTCAGGAGGCTGAGGCAAGAGAATCGCTTAAGTCCGAGAGTTGGAGGTTGCTGTGAGCTGTGGTGCCACAGCACTCTACCGTGGGCGATAAAGTGAGACTCTATCTCAAAAAAAAAAAAAAAAAAAAAAAAAGGCTTGGCACCTGTAGCTCAACCGGCTAAGGCGCCAGCCACGTACAGCTAAGGTGGCCGGTTCGAATCCCCAGCCCGGACCCGCCAAACAACAATGATGGCTGCAACCAAAAAATAGCCGGGCGCTGTGGTGGGCGCCTGTGGTCCCAGGTACTTGGGAGGCAGAGGCAGGAGACTCGCTTGAGCCCAGGAGTTGGAGGTTGCTGTGAGCTGAAATGCCATGGCACTCTACCCAGGGGGATAGCTTGAGGCTCTGTCTCAAAAAAAAGAAAGAAAAAGTGATGGACTGCCAAGGGACCCAGGTTGTCATCCTCCCTTCTAGGAAGTACATCGTGTCCTGTAAGCAGACAGAGGTGCCCCTCTCTGTCCCCTGGGACCCGAGCAACCAGGTAAGGGCCTCTTCTCCAAGGGGACAGTCCTCAGGTCCATGGGGTCCCCACCTGTTCTGATTGTCAGCATGGGTTTGAAAGAAGGCCTGAGGGGACAGGATACGAATGCTGGACCTCATGACCATATAGTTAGCAGAGGCCTTGCCTGTGTCCCCTTGTTTGGCAGGAGAGCTGTGACCCCAAGAGGCAGAGAGATATGTCTGGAGTCACACAGAGGGTTGAGCCAAGACTGGACCCCCTTCCCCAAAGCCCAGCGGTCTTTGCACAGTCCCTGTCCTGCTTCCTCCCCCAGAGAGGGGGAGGGCAGCCCCTGTGCACTCTTCCAGGAGTACCTGAGCGGCAGCACCTGTGCGCTCTTTCAGGTGTACTTGAGCTACAACAACGTCTCCTCCCTGAAGATGCTGGTGGCCAAGGACAACTGGGTGCTGTCCTCGGAGATCAGTCAGGTAGCTGGCCCCACCCCCAGTCTTTCCTTTCTGCTCTGAGTGGCTGGAAGTGGCTAGTGGCACTCCAGGGACTCTCTCAAACAAATTATGTCTGGCCAGGCTCCTTGGCTCATATCTGTAATCCTAGCACTTTGGGAGGCCAAAGCAGGAGGATCTTTTGAGCTCAGGAGTTCAAGACCAGCCTGAGCAAAGTGAGACCCCCATCTCTACCAAAAATAGAAAAATTATCCAGGTGTTGTGGTAGATGCCTTTAGTTCCAGCTACTAGCGAGTCTGGAGCAGGAGAATCACTTGAACCCAGGAGTTTGAAGTTGCTGTGGGCTAGGTTGAGGCCCAGCACTCTAGTCAGGGCACCAGCGGGAGACTTCTGTCTCAAAAAAAAAAAAAGACCAACAAAAAACCCCTCAAAACAAAACAAACAAATTCATTTATGTCAGAAGGGGATTTCTTCAAAGGGATTGGGAGAGATTATGGGAACATATTTGCCCCCACAGGGCCTGGATAGGACCCCCAAGTCCTTCTCTCCTGCCTGCCCCCCTGTGGCTGCTCTCTGCCCACCGCTTCCTCCTCCCTCTCTGCTCTTCTGCAGGATGGGGGCGGTGGGCAGGCAAGGCTGGGGAGGCCTGAGCTCTGCCACCACCTGGGGAATGGACTTGGAGGCAGGATGGGCAGCTGACTCAGAGGACCCATTGCATGTGGCCTCAGTTGCTGCTTCGTTTTTTATTTATTTTTTAATGTTTTCTTTTTTCTTTTATTTGAGACAGAGTCTCACTATGTCACCCTCGGTAGAGTACTGTGGTGTCACAGCTCACAGCAACCTCTAACTCTTGGGCTTAAGTGAGTCTCTTACCTCGGCCTCTTGAGTAACTGGAACTATAGGCACCCGCCACAACGCCCGGCCATTCTTTGCTTGTAGGTTGTCATTGTTGTTTGGCAGGCCCAGTTTGGATTCGAACCTGCTAACTCTGGTGTATGTGGCTGGCGCCCTAGCTGCTGAGCTACAGGTGCAGAGCCAGTTGCTGCTTCTTAAGGCACCTTCCTGTCCACTTGTGCTGCATTCTCTTAGCAGACCATCTTCACCAGGATGAGACTGAGCTCAGAGAGGTTGAGCCACTTGTTCACAGTCACACAGCATGTCGGTGGCCCTGAGCTTCCAGCCCTGGCCTCAGGCATCCTCATTATCTCCCCTGCCACCCAGCATAGTGTGGGGAGGAGTCGCAGGAATGAGGCTGCTCTCTGTCCAATGCAGGTCCGCCTGTACACTCTGGAGGATGACAAGTTCCTCTCCTTCCACCTGGAGATGATGGTGCACGTGGATGCTGCCCAGGCCTTCCAGCTGCTCTCAGACCTGTCTCAGAGGCCAGGGTGGGACAAGCATTACCGGTGAGCGACAGGGTGGGGGCTGGGGGAGGGGCCCTTTCGGGTCTGGGGTGGGTGGGAATGGGGGTAAGCTGTAGTCAGATGGGTGTCAGAGTCATGGGTATTTTGCACCCTCAGGGAAGGGGCTAAGCATGGAATTAGAGTTGAAGGCCTCAACTTAAGTTGCTTCCTTCCATCTCAAATACCTGTGTGACAGTGGCAAGTCACTTCCTTTCTGGGCCTGTACTGTGGCTGCACCTGTGAATAGCCACTGCACTCCAGCCTGGGCAACATAGTGAGGCTGACCCCCCCCCCCAAGACAAACAAAATGGATACTTAGGGGGTGAGTCATGGATTTGCATTCAGGGATAGCAGAGTTTCGAACTGTTTTCTGCAGTTGTGTTCCCAAAGTGGGTTTAAGAACTGCTTGGGGGCGGCGCCTGTGGCTCAAAGGAGTAGGGCACCGGCCCCATATGCTGGAGGTGGCGGGTTCAAACCCACAAACCCAGCCCTGGCCAAAACATGCAAAACAAACAAACAAACAAAAAAACTGCTTGGGGTGGGGTTGGAAGGCAGAGGAGTAGATGGGACACCCCCCCCCCCCACGTTCAGGCTAATAGGATAGCCAATTTGCTAAATTCACTAAGCTTGCTGATTCTTTTTTATAAATATGTACCTGCATGTTATGTTATTTTTTTCATAGACTCCTACATTGCCAATCCAATGAATATATATATAGATTTATCTGTGTGTGCATATATATTTGTTTTTTGAGACAACAGTCTTGCTCTGTTGCCCAAGCTAAAGTGTCATGGCCTCAGTCTAGCTCATCGCAACCTCCAGCTCCTGGGTTCAAGCTATCCTCCTGCCTCAGCCTCCCAAGTAGCTGGGACTACAGGTGTCCACAACAAGGCCTGGCTAGTTTTTTCCTATTTTCTGTAGAGAGGGAGTCTGGCTTGATGGAGTCTGGCTTTTGGCTCAGGCTGGTTTGGAATTCCTGAGCTCAAAGGATCCTCCTGCCTTGGCCTCCCACAGTGCTAGGATTACAGGCATGAGCTACCGAGCCCAGCTGAATATGTTATTTTAATACAGAGGGTGCCTATGACTACTAATATAATTCCTTTGAATACATTTATTCCCTAAGTTTACTGATTATTCATATGAGTATCTTCTTGAACTTATCTAGAAGATAAACATATTCTTAGGAAAATAGCCAAAATTTCAGATAGGAACTTTAAAGTTTAAACTGTTATTTTTTCAGGTCCCTTCAAAGTCACTTTGTATTCCGCCAATATCCCAGCTTGGAGGTATTTGGTGATCTCTGCAATGATGACGTTGTGAGGAGCCTATATTCCTATATTCCTGACTATTCCCACAGGGAGGGTCTTGCAATTTAGAAATTCAGTATGCCCAGCTGTGTTGCCATATTTTTATTTTTTTAGAGTCTCAATTTGTCACTCAGACTTCAGCCTCCTGATTAGCTGGGACTATAGCCACACACCACTGTCCCTGGTTTCTAGCATTTTTACTAGAGTGAGGGTCTCACTCTTGTTCAGGGTGGTCTCAAACTCCTGACCTCTAACAGTCCTCCTGGCTCATCCTCCCAGAATGCTAGGGTAATAGATGTGAGCCACCATGTCTGGCTGGCTAGGTAGCCTCAGGCCTGCTGGCAGTGCCCTTCTAGAAGTCAGAGAGGTGATTCAGCAGCAGGTGTCTTGTGCAGGGGAGGATAGTCCTACATGTGACAGGAAGCCCCCTTGCAGGAGGAGGCCTCGTGTGACCCTTGAGGGCCAGATCAAATCTGGACAGGACTTGGGGGGAATGGTGCAAAGGAAAGAGAACCCCTAATTCCTTCCCCCTGCCCTGGCCACAGCACGCAAATGGGCAGGCTCGGAGTGAAGCTGGGAGATTAAGGCGGGGGGGTCTGCACATGGTTGTGTACTGTGTGCTGCTGTGAACGTGTGCGTGTACCTGGGCAGTTGTGTGCCCAGGCCTAGGGACACATCTCTACTTCCTCACTGCCCGGACACACCCCAGCCCTGCTTCCTCACTCCCTCTATGGATGGGTCATTTCCTGGGCTCCAGACACAGTGGGCCCTCACTAAATATTAAGTACAGCTACGAAGTCATTGTGTTGTATGCCTCTGTGTGGGGTGTATGCCTGCAGACACGTATGGATCTGTGTGGAGTAGAGCTGATCCATGTGTCTGTGCACATATGCATGTGTGTCTTTGTTCCTGTCTGTGTGCACTTGTTTGCACGTGTGTGTCTGTCTAGCTGCCTTCTTGTCCTGCTGGCTGCTGCCGAGCAGTACAGGGGAAGGCACAAACACCATGAAAGTGCTGGGGGCTTGGCAAGGCAGGGCCCCGGCAGACCTGCTGCTCTTGTGGGAGCTGGCATGGCTCCCCGGGCCCTGAGCTCCCACCTCCCCACAGGAGCGTGGAGCTGGTGCAGCAGGTGGACGAGGATGATGCCATCTACCATGTCATCAGCCCTGCCCTGGGTGACGACACCAAGCCCCAGGACTTCGTGATCCTGGCCTCTCGGAGAAAGCCTTGTGACAACGGGTGGGTGGCTGCCTGCTCACCGGGGGATGTGATAGGGTGAAGCAGTGTCGACTAAGGGTAGAGCTCTGCGGTCGTGGGCTGTGGGATCCCAGGCTCCCCGACTTTCCTGGGCTGCTCTGGCTTCACTGTGAGTGGAAGACAAGAATAGTTCCCCTCTGGCCACTCATACCCTACAGCAGAGCATCCCTGTCCTGCTGTCTGCGGCTGGGGCTCAGGGCAAAATAGGCTGTCACCTTCCTCTGTGATGAGCCCTGCCCCTTCCTACCCTTCCTCCACTCTAGGGACCCCTATGTCATTGCTCTGAGGTCAGTCACACTGCCTACTCACCGAGAGACCCCAGAATACAGACGCGGGGAGACACTCTGCTCAGGCTTCTGCCTCTGGCGCGAGGGGGACCAGCTGACCAAGGTAAGGCCTGTGCCCCTCACAACCCGCCTGGCTCCACCCCAACACCATGTGTATATTAAGCTTAGTGTTACTGGGCCAGTTCAGTTCTAGACCAGAGGCGCCTCCTAGCAGCTCCCTTTTCAGTTTAGGGGAGCCTAAGAAGGTCAGGGGCTGACGACCAGCCTTTGTTAAGATCTAATCTGTGTGGCTCACCGCCTGTGGCTCAAGCGGCTAAGGTGCCAGCCACATACACCTGAGATGGTGGGTTCAAATCCAGCCTGGGCTCGCCAAACAGCAATGACGGCTGCAACCAAAAAATAGCCAGGCCTTATGGCAGGCACCTGTAGTCCTAGCTACTTGGGAGGCAGAGGCAGAATCGCCAGGAGTTGGATGTTGCTGTGAGGTGTGATGCCACGGCACTCTACCCAGGGTGACAGCTTGGGACTGTCTCAAAAAAAAAAAAAAAGAAATAGATATAATCTGTGGGGTGGAACCTGTGGCTCAGTGGGTAGGGTGCCAGCCCCATATACTGAGGGTGGCGGGTTTGAACCTGGCCCCAGCCAAACTGCAACAAAAAAATAGCCGGGTATTGTGGCAGGCACCTGTAGTCCTAGCTACTCAGAAGGCTGAGGCAAGAGAATTGCCTAAGCCCAGGAGCTGGAGGTTGCTGTGAGCTGTGACACCATGGTACTCTACCGAGGGCAATAAAGTGAGACTGTCTCTTAAAAAAAAAAAAAATCTAATCTGTACAGGGGAGAGTCAGGGGCTGCTGCGTGGTCTTGGAAAAAGCTCTGGATGCTGGGAAGAGAAGGCTTGGATTCTCATCTAAAATTCTATCTCATTGTTTATACCCCTTCTTGTCTAGGAAGGCTTTATATGGCTCTGAGGGCCCATAAAACTCAGAAGGGTGGTGAAAGTTAATTGAAAAAGTGGGGAGGAGGCTGACAGAGGGTGGGAACACCGCAGCTCCCGTCCTCGCTCACAGCTCCTGCCACAGCCCTGCTGCCCAGGCCTGGCCCTGAGACTCACCGAGGCGGGGCCAGTGTTTGTTGAATTAATACTGTTAAACCAGTGAGCTCCTCAGCACCAGCCTCGGGCTAATACCACCTTTGTTTGAAATGGGGTTTGGTGCTGGGCTCTGGACATCCAGTCCCTGCCTGAGGGCCTCTCAGCTAGTGGAGAATGCGATGTGAGTGTGCAGTGACAGGGAAGCCTGTGGGGAGAGCGGCTGGAAGGAGTGGTGCCCGCCCGGTCTGGGCACCCTCCTCAGACCCCTCCCAGAAGACAGCAGGGCCGGCCAGGACCTGCTGGGTGCCCACTGGTTTGCCCACCTCTCCCGCTGCACGAGCGCACTCTCCTCTAACCTGGCCCTCTGCCTGCAGGTGTCCTACTACAACCAGGCCACCCCAGGCTACATCAACTACGTGACCACCAATGTGGCCGGCCTCTCCTCGGAGTTCTACACCACCTTCAAGGCTTGTGAACAGTTCCTCTTGGACAACTGGAATGATCTGGCCCCCAGCCTCCAGACCCTGTAGGACCCTCACAGCACGCCCAGCCAACTCTATCCTGCCTCCAAGGACTACACGCAGTGTGTGGAGAAGACAGGGATTTATTCCTCCCTGCCTCCCCCATGGGAAGCCTTCTCTCTGAGGCCCACCGGCCCACCGCTGCTGGGTGCTCAGTTCCTGCCAACATCTGCCAGCAAGTCCTTGCGGTACTCCTGGGGCAGCCTGTAGTAGACTCGGGTCCTGTCCACAGCCCTGGCTGTCAGCAACACAGCCTTCACAGAGGCATAGTCCCCTCTGACAGGGATGTGCTCCACTGTGACAGTGGCCCGGGGGGAGGCCGCCAGCAGCTTGGCCACGACTCCAGCTGTGCTTTGGCCCAGCGGCCTGGCCAGCAGCTGGAAGGACACAGGTTGCCAGAGCCCCCGGCATAGCTCCAGCATGTCTGTGAGCATATGTTCCCCATAGCCACTTCCCAGCGCCTCTGTAGGCCAGCCTGGTGCCACAGTCACATGGGGGAAGATCTCAGCCACAGCTGTAAGCAACTCTTTGCCAGCCACGTGGCCAGGGACCACAAAACTCCCATGGGAGATGGTGGCCCCAAACCACACAGGCCAAGGCAGGAGGCGGAGGGTGGAGAGGCGTGCCAGCAAGGCCAAGGATGGCCGGAGGGCTGTAGGCTCTGCTATTTGGAGGTGGACACCCCAGTGTCCAGGATGAGAGGACAGCTGCCGCAGGCATGACTCCAGTGTCAGGACAGAGCCACCTTGGGCACGGACAATGGGTACAGGGTCCTCAGCTGCAGATTCCTGGAGGCTGATGTTCAATAGGATCATGCCTTCTCTCCCTGGAAGAGGCAACAGTGTCTAGGGTTTGGTCAAAGTCCCTTGTTAAAGGAGAAGAGGGGGGTTCTGGGGGCACCAAGGACAAGGAGGTGGTGCCTCCTCTCTCTGGAATCTGTAGACCTGGGCCTGGGCGCCAGGTGGAAGGGTCGTGGCCCTGGGTCTGGGCGCCAGGTGGAAGGGTTGCTTTACGAATGTGCCTGATGTTTTTCTGTTTCCCTTCACCTGGGCCTCAGCCCTGGGGCCCTGAGAACCCAAGGCTGCTGACCTGAGGGCCAAGAGGCCTTCTCTGGACACCACTATGTGTCTCTCCTTTCCTGGGCCCACCTTGTATCCAGGGTGGCAGTATCTACTTCCAAGCAAAGGACACCCCTGAAGTGTAGTCACCAGGGCTGAAGGCAGACCTTACCTGGGAGGGTCACTGTGGCTGTTCTTCCACTGCCCTGGACGCCAGGAACCAGCCACTCCACAGCCAGACTGTCATCCCCGGGCAGCTGGAGAAGAGGGATCAGGCTGCCCCCCGTGTAGTAGATTCGCCTCCGTGTGGTATTCACTGTGGGACCCAAATTGCCGAGATGAAGGGGCTGCCACTCATGCAGCACCCACGTAGGCCCCAGCTCTACAGGGGTTCTCGCAAAGCCTCCCAACACCCTGCCAGGGAGGGGTCATTTCCCTGCTTTGTTTAGCGTACTATAAGTGACATGCCCCAGGTCCTACAAGCAGTAAGCAGAGTTGCTGAATGGAACTGGTTGGGACCAGATCCGTCTGGCCCCAGACTCCACTTAGGCATGTGGAGTCTGCACGCCTCTTTGAGATGACTTTACTGCAGGCTCTCCTAGGTTCAGGGTCAAGAGAATGAGGGGCTTGGACAGGAGCATCTGGACCACCGATAGGCAGGTCCAGCAGAGGGGCTGCTGTCTGAAACATTCAAGTAACCCCAGGGCAACTGTGCTACAGGGCAAGTAGGGAGTTGGAATTTGCTGAGTTGTACCACGCAGGGGCTGAATGTGTGAAGTCCTTACCTGCTGAGCCCCAGTTCCCCTAGCTATAAAATGGAATTGCTGCCTCACGGATGTGTAAAGCTTAGAGAGTAAGCACACCACACCAGGGCCCAGCACACAGTAGGCCTCAGAGTGCTTCCCTGCCCCCCACCCCCGGGATTGCCCCTTCCGATGTCCCTTCCCCCCAGCCGTGCTCCAGTGCCCACCAAGTGCTGCCTGTGCAGAGTCCAGCTCATGCCACCCTTCCCAGTTTCCCTCCTTACAGGCCAGCTGCTTGAACTGGGACAGGACAGGCTCAAAGAGGTCATAGTAGACTTGGTGGGCAGCGCTGTTGTCCCGGATGTACAGCAGGTCGGCCACTGACACGGGGTCTGAGGCGCCTTGCCACAGTGTCAGGCTGTACCTGGAGCCCAGAGAGCAGGCTCAGTGCGCATCTGGGCCCAGTGAGATTCTCTGCCCCACCCACCCTGTGCTCACACCTGGACGCCAGTTAGACGCAGGGATACAGCGTCTTTCCTCCAGCCTCACGCTAGCCACCCCTCCCCGAGCATGACCCCTTCCCAACAGCAGAAGAAGCCAGGAGGAGTTCAGGGAAGATGATGGAACACAGAGGCCTGGAAGGAGGGAGGGGGCAGCCTGCCCTGTCTCCTGGCTTGGAGTATTTCTGAGTCCTATTTTAGGAAAGGGACAAGGACAGAAGGGTGAGGGCATGAGGTCAGGCATGAGAAGGAAAGGGGGCCCCTCGGGGGAGAAGGTAGAGCTGGGAAGCTGGGCGCTAACTGTGGGGCAGGGGAAGTCCCTCAGTCCCTACATGGCTCTCCTGGGGCCGGGGCTGCAGGCACGAGCTGTGCAGGCCCGGGACACAGTGGGCTCCTGTGGGAGAAGCTGTGGGGAGACAGCTTGTCCCGGCATACTCTCCAGGGGCAGAGCATTTGCCACCAATGGAAGGGCTCTCTCAGGAGATAGTGAGCGGCCTGTCAGAGGTACATACAGCAGAAAGCAGGCACATTATGGAGGGTAGAAGCCCCACAGAGGGTTGGGCCAGATGATCTTTAAGATCCTTCCAGCCATGAGTGTCTGGGAACATCAGTGCCTCTGGGGTGGTGGTAGGTTTGGAGCAAGGAGCCTGGGGGTCTTCACCTCTCGGATTGGCCCAGCAGCCAGCTGAAGTGGGGCCAGGCAGCCCGTACCATGACGGCCCGCACAGGGAAGGTGACCCTCTGTGGCAGTGTCCCCACCAGCTCCTGCATCTTCTCCACCATGTCTCGGGTGTACGTCCTGTTCGGGAACAGGGGCACGTAGAGGGTGGTCCAGCCTGGGGACAGGGTGGCCTCAGGGTACTTCTCCTGGACCAGGGCCAGGAACCTGTGGAGAGTCAGAGACACTGGTCTGGACCCCTTCCACCAAGGACCCCTTCTCCTCTGGGTTCTCATCACAGGGCTAGGAAGTGGCAGGACCTGTTGCATTTGTGACATAGGTCAGAGCAGACTCCTAAAAGACAGAGTGGCCTGCTCAAGGTCCCATGAATAGGGCTTGGAGTTGAGTCAGGAAGGTCCTGGTTCAGATCCTAACTCTGACCTTGGCAGCCTCTGACCTTGGCAGCTCACCTAGCCTCTTTGATTCTCAAAGACAGGATCCCTCGCAGTGGGCCGGGGCAGGCCTCTTTAACCTTCCCCTTAAGGACAAAGGGACTGTATCAGAGCCCCAGGTGGAGGTGGGGATCAGACTGATAGCTATGAGCCTCTGAAGTTTTCCTTTTAAATTTTATTTGAGTTTCGTCCTGATACAAATTTTAGTAGGCAAATAATGCTTTCCACTCCCTCACCCCCACCCCCTTAAAAAAGAACCACTGGGTGTAATCAGTACTCCAAGATGACAAACTCTACTTATCTTGGGCCACTGACTGTATTTTTCAAAGTGCTTCTTTTCAAATGCACCTCAGCTTGAGATGCTCAGTACACATTGTTGGTTCACTGGATGGACGGACAGATGGAGGGGGAGGGGGATGGGAAAGCCTGGGGCTCAGACTCAGAGGCCGGGGTTTGAACCTTTGCTCTGCCATTTGCAAGAGTTAGGCCATTTAACTCCCCCAACATAGTTTCTTTATTATTCTATAAGATTGTTTCTGTATTAATAATAAAAGGAAAATAACAGTACCTACCTCATTCTCATTGTAAGAGTTAAATGGTGTTCTGCAAGTAAAGGGCTTAAAATAGGACCTGAGACACATAATAAACTTTCAGCAAATTGAGCAATTATCGTCAGCCTTATCATCTGCAAAATGGAAAGAAAATCCTCTCCAGGCACTCCTGCGTTTTCAAAATTAATAGAAAAGGCCTGGCTTGGTGGCTCACGCCTGTTACTCTAGCACTCAGGGAGGCCGAGGTGGGTGGATTGCTTGAGTTTAGAAGTTCAAGACCAGCCTGAGCCAGAGTGAGACCCCATCTCTACTAAAAATAGAAAAACTAGGGGGGCGTTGTGGCAGGTGCCTGTGGTCCCAGCTTCTTGGGAGGCTGAGGCCAGAGGATTGCTTGAGCCCTGGAGACTGAGGTTTCTGTGAACTATGATGACACCATGGCACTCTACTGCAGGCTAGAGTGACTCTGTCTCAAAAAAAAGAAAAAAAGAAAATCCTGACCTGGCAGTGCTACGTAAGGATCAAGTTGGAAACATTCTCTCCTGTGATGTGGCCTTTCTTTGTAAACAGGAGTACTGTGCAGCTAGTATGTGTGAGGGCTGTTAGTGGCGGTGCTGGAAGCTCAGGAGGGCTGAGGAGAGTGTCAAATGTTTCAGACTTTCCCAGCAGTCCTGCCTGGGCCGGTCACTGGAAGTACACAGAGGACTTGACCCTGTGGTACCCTTGACCCTGTGTGCCCTCCAGGAGTCCACAGTGTGGCAGGGATGACAAAGCTGTAAACTGTCATCGACAACCCAATTGAGGCTATGGTAGAAGGAAGGCGGGGAAGAGGGGCCCAGAGGCGGTCCCTCAGCAGCCTGGGATGTCAGAGAAACTTCTAGAAGGGGAGTGACTGGGCCCTGTTTGTCAGAAGAGGGGGAAGGGGCGTTTGAGGCAGAGGGAACAGCATGTGCAAAGGCTCAGAGGTGAGCCTATCTGGTGTAAGCAGAGTCACTCAAGGGTCTCTGAGGTCCCCTTCCTGGGCTAGATGTTGACAAAAGAGTTAGACGTAGCTGAGGCAGAGACGTGGGCACTCACTGTGTGGCATTGACCTCAACTGAGATGGGCACGTTGGGGCCCCTGAGGACGTCGGCGTTGATCCACACGGGCCTCCGGACTCTGCCTTCCCCTGTCAGCTGCTGCAGGAGGTCCAGGGAGGGGCCCACGGCCTTGATACTCTTGAAGTCCAGTTTGATCCCTGTGGGGAAGAGGACAAGGGATCTGGGAAGACATGACTTCCTGGGCAGAGAGAGCCGGTAGTGGATGTGGGTACAGAGGGGGTCAAGGGAGGTAGGAAGACAGGGACCCAGCTGGGTGAGGAAGGGCTTTCAAACAGGCAGAGCTGACCCACAGAAGCAGGGCAGCAGGAAGCTGAGCATCTGATGAAAAGGGGCTGAGGTTCCTGGACAGGACAGAGAGGGTCCTAAGCCACCAGAGTCTGTAGAGGAAGGACCCAGTGGGAAGAAAGTCCCATCCTGGTCATGGTGGTGAGGAGATGAGGCTGGCAAGTTAAGGCTGTGTCTGGAGGACAAAGGGGCCACAGAAGATTAAAGCAGAGGAGTGGCATGACCAAAGCGGCACCTTGAAAGGTGGCTTGAGTGTGTGTGTGGCAGTGATGGTCAGGGAAGGACCAGCAGGGCTGAGTGTGGGGCAGCAGCTGGCGAGGAAGGAGGTTGGGGAGAGAGTGTGACTGTGACTGCATGAGGGGTGAGGAGGGGGTTAGAAGTGGCAGAGGCAGCCGCTGAGTAGATGTGAGGACGAGGGAGGAGCCGGTGTGAGGATGACATCTAGATACCAATGGGCAAAGGGACCTGGGGGGGGTGGAGTTTGACTTTGAAATGTTGTGTCCAGTCTTGTGGATACAAGAAGGAGCACCCCGAGCACATCTGGCAGTTGGCAGTTTACTCCCCACTTCCATGTCTCCTGTCCCCCCCGCCCCCTGTATATCCAGGAGAGACCACCTGGGAGTGCACCTACACATCTCACCTGTGTCCAGGAGAGGAGAACACCTGGGCGTGCTCTTACACATCCCCCATCTCACCTGTGTCCAGACACCTGGGCGTGCACCTACACATCCCCCATCTCACCTGTGTCCAGACACCTGGGCGTGCTCTTACACATCCCCCATCTCACCTGTGTCCAGGAGCAAACACCTGGGTGTGCTCTTACACGTCCCCCATCTCACCTGTGTCCAGGAGAGGAGAACACCTGGGCGTGCTCTTACACATCCCTCATCTCACCTGTGTCCAAACACCTGGTTGTGTTCTTACACATCCTCCATCTCACCTATGCCCAGGAGAGAACACCTAGGCATGTGCTTAAGCATCCCCTGTCTCACCTGAGAATCCAGGTGAGTGCACCCTGGATGTGACACACCTCCCTGTGTCACCTAGTCCTCACTGAGCCAGGGCATCTGCAGCATGGTGACGGGAAAGCCAAGGCAATAAGCACCGTGTATGGAGACTGGACATGCTGCCTGAGGGACTGAGGGCTGGGGAGGGTCCCAGAGGGGCCCTTACCTTTCTGGGAAGAGGACAGCACAGTGTCCAGCCACTGCTGCAGTGTGTTGTCACTGTAGATAGCTGGGGGGTGTGCCATGATGGGGACCCCCGTCTCATTGGCTGTGTTGAGCCCTTCTACAGTGACATCAGCCTCCAAGACCATGGTATTGCCTGCAAGAGGCAGAACGCAGTTAAAGAACATTCTCCTTAGTAAAGCAGCGCAAGAGTGAAAAAGCAAGTATCTGATGTACTCAATACTGATAGGAAACCAGTAGATGAACAGCTACAGGCCCGCTCGAGAGAAAAACTCAATTCAATTCGAATGGACGGGAGGAGGAGGGGGATTGGTGGACTCTCGCCTAATGGTCACAGTGCACCTCCCGGGTGAGGGGCTCAACCACAATTTGGGCCTTACCTAACAGACGCAAATAGTATATAACCTAATAGTTTGTACCCTCGTATTAATCTGAAGTTAAAACAAGAAAAAGTGAGGAGAAATAGTAACTACATAGGAAACCAAATGAAAATTCTAGAATTTAGTAAACGTTCAAAATTTAAAAATCACTATATATGACAGAAAAACCCAAGCTTAAAACAAATCGATTATTCCTCACATAAAAAATTGTAAAATTTGGACAAAACATTAAAAAAGTTAGAGGAGGTGGCACCCATGGCTCAGTGGGTAGGGAGTTCAAGCCCAGCCCTGGCCAGCTAAAATCAACAATGACAACTGCAACAAAAAATAGCCGGGCGTTGTGGTGGGTGCCTGTAGAGCTATGATACCGTGGCACTCTACTGAGGGAGACATAGTAAGTAAGACTTTGTCTCAAAAAAAAAGTTAGAAGAATTAGAGAGCATCTAGAAATAGACAGAAGCTGGAGGATTGATTATATGTGCCTGCCTGATATTGCAATATAATAATAAATATTCATGGCTCAGTGCCTGTTGCTCAGGGGTTAGGGCGCTAGCCTTATACACCGAGGCTAACAGGTTCAAATCCGGCCCAGGCCCGCTAAACAATGACAACTGCAACAAAAAAATAACCAGGTGTTGTGGCGGGCGCCTGTAGTTCCAGCTACTTGGGAGGCTGAGGCAAGAGAATCACTTGAACCCAGAAGTTTGAGGTTGCTGTGAGCTGTGACACCACTGTACTTTACCCAGGGCGACTGAGTGAGAGTCTGTCTCAATAAAAAAAAAAAAATAATGAAATAAAATAAAAACAATAAATAGTATCATTGGCTGAGAAAAAGGCAGAACTCAATCAGATCCTTTAAAAAAAAAGTTTTCTGGCTCGGTGCCTATGGCTCAAGTGGCTAAAGCGCCCGACACATACACCTAAGGTGGTGGGTTCGAATCCAGCCCAGGCCCACCAAACAACAATGACAGCTGCAACCAAAAAATAGCTGGGTGTTGTGGCAGGCGCCTGTGGTCCCCCCTACTTGGGAGACTGAGGCAAGAGAATGGCCTAAGCCCAAGAGCTGGAGGTTGCTGTGAGCTATGACACCACAGCACTCTACCAAGGGTGACAAAGTCAGACTCTGCCTCTAAAATAAATAAATAAATAAAAATAAAGATACATATTTTATTATGATTTTCTGATTATTTTTGATTCTTCCTACTGGCTTGTGGAATTTGAGTCAGGACAACACAATACAGGGTGATGTTGAAACCCCATGTTATCAAATTACTTTCCAGAAGTGTTGGTCTGAATCATATTCCCACCTGAAGTATGTAAGATTGCCCATCTCACTACATCCTTACCACCACTGAGCTTTGGCTTTTTTTTTTAACTTTATGCAGTTAATCAGGTGGGTGTCATCTGATTCCTGCCTTCAAGAGTTCAATCTAGAAAGGAGCTCAGACTTTTCTTTCTTTCTTTTTTTTTTTAGAGACAAGGTCTTGCTCTGGCTCAGGCTGGTCTCAAACCCATGAGCTCGGGCAATTCCCCTGCCTTGGCCTCCTGGGTGCTGGGATTATAGGCATGAGCCACCATGCCTGGTCCTAGGAGCTCAGACTTTTTTTTTTTCCAGTTTTTGGCCGGGGCCAGGTTTGAATCCTCCACCTCTGGTATATGGGGCTGGCGCCCTACTCCTTGAGCCACAGACGCCACTTGGAACTCAGACTTTTCTGATGCGAAGCACACTCTGGAAAAGCATGCACGGGGCACTAGAATTTGGGGGGTTCACATCTGGGGGGTTCTTTGAACAAGGAAGATTCACTCCCAGCCCCTGTATCATCACAGACAGTTGGCATTGGGGTGGGGGCCTTTTCTCCTGGCTACTCCTAACTGTTCTCTCTTTTAGCCCTGCTCCCCTCCAAATCCTTTCTCTACATAGATGGAGTATTCTAAACATGTACCTGACCATGCCACTTCCCACTGAAAAGCCAAAATTCACCAAAGCCCCACCAAATTTCCTGAAAATCAAACTCAAACTGCTCACTGTAGGCTTTGGTCTGCACAATCAGATCCTACCAATTTTTAAAATCTCATCCCTTGTCCCTCCCTCCCTGGTTCTCTAGGTTTCAGCCGCCTGGCTCCTGCAGATTTAAGCAGCAGGTGTATCTCCTGGCAACTGCAGGTTCGGGTGAGGCCTGCGATTCCGCCTGTCTAACCTGCTCCGGGATGCCTGTAGACCACACATTGAGCAGCAAGGCTTTAATTTGTCTTGTCCTCCCATCTATCAGCTCTCAAAAGTGGCTGTTGCCTGGCAACACTCCTCCCTTAACATCTTTCCTAGGGAGTCTTCTGCTCGTCATTTAGTGCGGACTTAAAATAGCTCTTCTAGCTGGGCACGGTGGCTCATGCCTGTAGTCTCAGTGCTTTGAGAAGCTGAGGTGAAAGGATTGTCTGAGCCCAGGAGTTGTCCAGACCAGCTTGGGCAATATAGTGAGACCCCGTTTTGACGAATTAAAAAAAAAATTAGCTGGGTGTGGTAAAAAAAATTACCTGACTAGTTGACATCACATTACACCTGTGATGCCAGTTAGTCAGGAGGCTGAGGCAGGAGGATCACTTGAGTCCAGTTCAAAGTTACAGTGAGCTATGATCCAGCTGCATTCCAGCCTGGGTGAGAGAGAAACCCTGTTTCTAAAAAGATTTAAAAAGGCAGAGGATGTTGTAAATAATTCAACAAAATGGAAAAGAAAAAGACAAAAAATAAAAATAAAAAAGGCAGGGGATTCATGCCTGTAATTCTAACATTCTGGGAGGCTGAGGCGGGTGGATTGCTTGAGCTCGGGAGTTCAAGACCAGCCTTAGCAAGAGCAAGAGATCCTGTCTTTATTAAAATTAGAAAAACTAGCATTGTGGCGGGTACCTGTAGGCCCAGGTACTTGGGAGGCTGAGGCAAGTGATCGCTTGAGCCCAAGAGATTGAGGTTGCTGTGAGCTATAATACACAGCCCTTAACTCAGGGCACCAGAGGGAGACTCTGTCTCACAAAAAAAAAAAAAAAAGGAAAAAAAACATATCGCTTCCTCAAGGAGGCACACCCCTGTCTAGGTAGGTCACTCTGCCTCTTTGCCTCAGCGAAACCACTCTTTTCCTGTACACTCAACCTGGTGTCAGGCTTCCTCCGTAGAAGCTCCCTGAGAGCAGAGTCTGGGTCTGAACTGGCTGTCACTTGAATTCCGAGAGCCTGGATGGCACCAGTCCTAAAAGATACTTCTAAAATGGCCGAGTGGATTAACAATAGAAAAGTCAAGAGCAACCAGCTCAGGTCAAAAAAGATGAAACAGCTCACCCAATATCCCAGGGATTTTTTTTTTTTTTGGAGACAAAGTCTCACTTTGTCATCCTCAGTAGAGTGCTGTAGTGCCATAGCTCACAGCAACCTCCAGCTCTTGGGCTTAGGTGATCTCTTGCCTCAGTCTCCTGAGTAGCTGGGACTACAGGCGCCCACCACAATGCCTGGCTATTTTTTTGTTCTGTTGGGCCGGGGGTGGGTTTGAACCCACCAACCTCAGTGCATGGGGCTGGCGCCCTACTCACTGAGCCATAGGCGCTGCCCAGGATTTTTTATTTTTTTGAGAGAGAGTTTCTCTCTGGGTGGAGTGCTGTAGAGTCATCATAGCTCATAGCAACCTCAGTCTCTGGGGCTCATGTGATCCTCTCACCTTAGCCTCCCCAGCAGCTGGGACTACAGGTCCCCCATAACGCCTTGCTAGTTTTTCTGTTCTTAGTAGAGATGGGATCTTAGGACTTTGCTCTTGCTCAGGCTGGTCCCAAACCCTGAGTTCAAGCAATCTACCCCTCAGCCTCCCAGAGTGTGAGGATTACAGGCGTGAGCCACCACACCCAGCCCATCCCAGAGGATTTTGGCAGATTTCTCTAAAATCTAGGTGTCTGGATTTCTAGGAGGGAAAGAAAGGCAGGCTGTTCCTGGCACTGGGCTTTCCAACATCCCAGGCTGGAAGTCACTGTTATCCTGGCCCAAGTGACCTGGCCATAAAAGCACATTGCAAAGAGCTTTATGGATGTAACCTGTGTTTTTATGACTTGGACACAAGGTCTTCTTTTATCTTAACTTTCAGTTGCTTGGGAATGCAGTGAGAGGTGTCCAAAGGGTTTGGGGCTTGGTGAGCCCCAGAGAACCCAGGCCCATAAGAGGCATCTGGGTGAGGAGAGTAGCTCAAGAGAATGGGTGCCGAGCTTTCCTCCCTGAGCAGGACCAGTTGCACTGTGGGGGAGGTGAGGGCCAGGAGCCACCCAGGCTCTGAGTCCTGAGGCCCCCCCAGTGTTGCTGTCTTGCTTGACTTTCTCTAGGTGCCCTTAAGACACTGAGCTCTTTGGAGAGGCATGCCTTACTCATATTTTTTTTTTGAGACCAGGCCTCACTATATCACCCAGGCTGGTCTTGAACTCCTGGCCTAACATGATCCTCCCACCTCTGCCTTCCCCTCCCGAGTAGCTAGGAGTATAAGCACCACTATGCCTGCCTAGTGCTCTCATTTCATTTCATTTCCTTTCCTTTTTCTTTTTCTTGGAGACAAGAGTCTCATTCTGTTGCCCTAGGTGGAGTGCTTCATAGTTCACGGCAACCTCAAACTCTTGGGCTTGAGCAATCCTTGGCCTCAGCTTCCCAAGTAGCTGGGACTACAGGCACCCACCACAATATCTGAATAGTTTTTCTGTTTTCAGTAGAGAAGGGCCTCACTGTTGCCCAGGCTGGTCTTGAACTCCTGAGCTCAAGCGACCAGCCTTGGCCTCCCAGAGTGCTGGGATTACAGGTGTGAACCACCACACCTGGCCCTGCTGTGTTCATTTCTAAACCTTCCTCCTGGGCTTTGCTCAGGGAATGGATTAAAGACTGTTGGGAATCACCCTCTGGACCTGTTCTGCCTACCTGCAATTGCTGCCTGGACCTAGCTTCTTGCCTTCCAGAGGTTAAATGTGGGGGCTGACTTGCTTGGGGTGAAGAAGTAAAAGGAACAAGATAAGGACGGTACCAGGTTCCCGTGACCACAGAAGGAGGCTGGGCCTCAGGGAGCCACAGTCAGCAGGTAAGGGAACATGCAGTTACGGAGCCCTCCACCCACCCTCCTCGTGCCAGGAGCTTTTTAGACGTTTCAGAGAGCATGGTGGCCGAGTGTGGGAACCTACATCCAAGCTGCAGGCTTCCAGTTCCAGCTCTGATACTTCTAAGCTGTGTGATCTTGGAGAGGTTATGTGATATCTCTATGCCTCTGTTTCCTCATGTATAAGAATTAAATAAAATATCCCTGGTTAGGCATTCACTCAGTGTTAATCATTATTTACATGGAGCAGCTCATTTAACT